CTTTAACTGGAAACTGCCAGGTGATGGCACGTGCGTGGTGCAGAGGGTACCGGCGAGGGAGGAGCGGTGGCGTTACTGTCTCTGTCTCCTGGACTTGGTACCCCCGGGGATGCTCCTCTGCCAGGGTCTTCCCCTCAAAAAAATGGGTGCTTTTGGGGTGGGGGGGTCCCCCTGTCCCTCCCCTGTGCTGGTGGCAGGGCATCCTACACGATGCCCTCGCTGCGTTTGCTCCTCCACACCACCAGCGCGGTCATCAGCAGGGTGATGAGGATGGGCAGCAGGATGAAGGGGCAGAGGACGCCGTTGGGGGGGTCATGCAGCGCCCGGCCGGACGGGGAGCAGTTCCTGAAGTACTGCTTGTGGACGGCCACGAAGAACTCATCCACCAGCCGGTTGGGCCAGTAGCAGTCGAGCCTCTCGGCGATCAGCGCCGTGCAGTTCGTCAGCTCCCCGTAGGTGCTGCAACACAGAAAGGGCACGGGGTTATTTTTTTTTTCCCCCAGTATTTTTTTGAGACTGTAGGTAGATAGGTACAAAAATATATGGGTTTGGGTTTTGTTTTTTTTTTTTTTTTTTAAATCCCATCAGGTTTTGCCATTTTGATCACGCCTTGAAGTGCTCACCCACAGCCAGAAGGACAAGGAGTTTTCATTTACAGAAGGAAATGAAAACAGAAATAATATTTACAGAAATAACTGGAAGCAAGGGGTTTTTTGTTTGGTTTGTGTTAATTTCTGCAGGATTTCATGGCCAGACCGGTGCTATTAGAAAGTATTGGGCAGACCCACAGAAACCCTCTGGCACCTTTGAGGACAGACCTTCAGGGACCCCATCCTGAGCCACGGAGCAGCTCGCCCGGCTGCCGGCCTTCGGGGCACCCTCCTTTAGCTGGCGCAGGTTCATCCAAAAGGAGACAGAAGTACGTACATCAAATCTGCTTAAAATTCTCCTTTTACTTGCCTAAAAATGGGGAGGTTTGCATACGAACCAACAGCACGCTCTTCAGGTTCACCCCTCTGCAGTACCACGACCCATCCCACCTCTCAATGGCCAGCAAGTCCATTTTGTCGAGGGTTTTGGGTTTTGTTTCCCCTCCCAAAGATTTGGAAAACAAGGAGCAGCCCTGAGCAAGAGGCACCGCAGGAATATGACTGCCTCTGTGCTGGTCCAACCAGCCATCCTCTGGAAGGACGGGTATTACCATGGGTTTCAAATCC